GGCATCCGTCATGTCCTCGCTCGCACATTTACTCCCGCCTGCGCGCGCATTCACTACCACGTACTCCCTCCGTGCCATCCCCATCATACGGATATACAGCCGCCCCAAACTCCCAAAACGAAAAAAATCACCAGTACGTTGTCCTTCACCAAGGAAGGAATGGGCCAAGCTAGCCTGGAATTATGTCAAGTTTCAGTTCGTACACTCGTGGCCGTTGGATCTTGGTTACATTCATCTGTGTGTGTGTGTGTGTGTGTGTGTGTGTGTGTGTGTGTGTGTGCAAGTGTGCATTATGGTTGGACTTGGAGTAGTAATATTGTTTGTTTGAGGGACAGAGGAGAATCATGGGGCTTTCCTTTGGTTACTGTGGCTACCCAGGCGCGTTGGCAACGAGTTTGAACAACTTTGAAGTTCGTGTCCAAAGCCCCGGAAAGTTTCATCCTTTTAAAAACTCCAAAAGGTGGCGAAAGTAAGCGTAGGAGGCTCATCATGATCGGGAGACCGCAGGAACGGTTTCGGTCAACACCATCAGTGAGACTCTGAAGTCTGAACCGACCGTGAGAGTGAGTGAAGAAAGAATTAACTAATCTAAACAAGCACAGAGTGTGATTTCCAGACAAGCATACGAAGAAATTAAGGACTGCACGGTGCTTGCTTTCCTTACCGCCGTTGAGCCAGAGGACGAGGGGCTTCCTGGCCGGGTCGCCGCCGGCGGCTTCGGTGAGCCAGTAGAAGAGCGCGCGGCCGTGGCGCTCGCTCACCGTCACGTACCCGGAGTACTGAGCGAAGGCCACCGCCGGCTGCCCCGGCAGCGCCTCCACCCGGTCCCGCGCCCGCTCCTCCGCGCCAGGGTCGGTGGCGACCAGGCCGGCCGCGCCTCCAGCCGCCAGCCACAGCACCAGGACGCTCGCCACGGCGCCCACAACGCCGCCGCCGCCCGCCCCTCCACACCGGGTCGCCATTGACACGAGGACACCTCTTGTCGGAATGTCGTGGTAGTACCACCGGACGGAGCGCGCACAGCACAACAAGCTGGCCGCGGCCGCGGGGCGCAGTGGTATTTATCGTCGACCAGAGTCGCGCGAGCTCAGCTCTGAGAGAGGTGGCTGGTGGGGGTGGTGGCGCGCATGCAGATGCAATAATGCGGCATCGGATCGGGCGAGAGCGACGGGCGGGCGGGCATGGGCGGCTCTGCGGAGCATTTAAGCCCGGGAGCTCAGCAGCAGCAGCTCGGTGTGAGCGTTCATGGCGTGGGCAGGGGGAGAGGACGGAGGGCAGGTGAGGTGAGGTGAGGGTGAGCTACGCTGCTGCGCTGCGGGCGGTAGCTGAGGGGCGCCTACGCCGCCATTAATACCCCTCCGTCCCGTCGACGACCTTGGGTATGGCTCGGCTGGCCTACGTACGTACGCCGCTTGAGTTGAGACGGGGCACGGTGGGCTGGCTAGAGATTGACCACGGGAGGGCATTAATGCGGTGGCTTGCACACTCCAGCTCAACTGCTCCAGCTACCACTGCGCGCTGCACTGGTGCACTGCGGGCTCTCGGTCGCTTTCCACGGCGCCGGGCGATTCCTCACTGTTGATGAGTGCTTCTTGCATGCTCCATGCGCTATGGAACAGAGCAAAAGCGGCCCGGCTGCAGATGGGATTTACCAGTGGAAAGTTTTTACGAGCTTTCCGCGTGGGACAAGCGAAATAAAAGTCACTGTGTCTGTGTGCTGCAGTGACACACTAACCCTTGTCTTACTAGTAGGACGAGTGCACACAGCATTACGAGTTCCCTTGATGGGTGGTGGGTACGTGGCGTTGGGTGGTTGGCCGGTCAGTAATGCTAGAGCTACAAAAACCTACAAAGGTTTACTTAACCTTTCAACGTAATTTTCTCTCTCCTCTGATTTTAAGTAGGGATGAGCCCCTCACCTCCCTATTGCCAATCACAATACTCCACATTCATTTACACCGCATTTGGATGTCTCCATTGCAGCCCAGGAAATCGAATTGGTAATCATCTAGCCTCGATACAGATGTTTGATAGTACATCGAATTCGTATTGGAAACAGCAGGCCAATTCGGGGTTGTTTTGCCTCCCACGTAAAGCTCCCTCCCACGATTCGAAGGGCTCCCGCTTCGTTTTCCTCTTAATTGCCCATTCCCCGCAAAACTCCCTTCGATCCCAGCGACCAGAAAAGAAAAGAAGAAAAGAAGGGAGAGGAGAGGGGATCTCGGGGTGACCTAGCTACCAGAGCGGCGGTGACGAACCGCGGCGCTCGGCAGCGGCGCAGATCTGTTCATCCCCCGTCTCTCCCTCTCCTTCCCATCCCCTGTCCCGATTGCTTCGTCTCGTACCGCACCCCTTCGCTCATGGTCTCCGTCTCCAGCGGCGACCGCCATGGAGACTGGTCTCCATCCCCACCCCGGCCGGAAGGTGGGCGAGAGGAAGCCTGGCGGCGTCCACCATCCTGTCCGACGATGGTGGCGACCATCATACCAACCCGTCCCCATCCCCATATGAAGCAAGAAGATAGGGGGACAAGTGCAACGGGTGATAACCGGCGGTGACCGTGGCAGGTTGCCCATTATCTATACATGGTGAACTATCAAATGGACTGAACTGCAGTTAGTGCAGATAGGTGATTTGAGGGCTTGAATACTTGCTGCCTTTTTTTTACTGAAGCTTAGGTGTACCATGAAATTGAGTCATTATCTTTCATACTGAATGAACATTGCATGTCAAATAGGTGAACTGGTACAGTGCTTGTGTATGACAGTATGAGTAATTTGAGGGATATCAAACTGCATGCTAGCAAAGCTCATGTGTACCTGAAATATTCAGTGATTGCCTTTCTTACTGAATGAAAATTTCATGTTAGATAGGTAAAGTAGTACAGATAGAATATTTTTTATTTTTTACTGCTATATATTAATTTAATTATAGTCACATGTGAGAAGATTTCAGTTTGAATTCATGTAGAACAAGGTACAATCTTCACTGTAATGTAAGCAATTCCAAAGTTTGTCATCCAAACATGATTTGGTATTGGAAGTTCTGAGGCAATTCAATGGCTAATTCAATGAACAACCAAACAGTCGAATTCGTATTCATCCCATTTCAGTTTCCTCACAGAATTGGAATTTAGGCCATTCAACACGGAACTCTTCAATACAGACATCCAAACAAGCTAACATTTGTAGATGTACCGTTACTCGTTGGCCAGGTGGCCGGTACGTACACAGGACAAATGAAGACAGCAGCGGTACGTACGTGGCAAGCAACATGCTAACATTGACAGCACGAGGACAGCAGGGAAGCGTGTACCAGATGGGTTCGATCAATCGCCTTGGTAAGGAGCAAGCTAGCGCTAGAGTCGTCGAGGTTCTGACTGGGTTGGGTCTCGCCCTGCTCGACCGTATACTGTGTATTATTATTGCACCTGTAAATCAGCCGATCATTGCTTCCGCCGTGCATTGTGCCGACGCATACGGACGGACCGATCGATGAGAACCAAGGAGCCCATACCATGCCATGCCCGCGTACTCCACGTCGTCCCGCTCACATGCATATATTTTGGTCCGTCGAATTTTTTTGGAAGATACCAAAAGGCTCACATGCACGCGGGACGGCGATGGCGATGGCGTGCGTAGCCGGATTTGCAGTGACGACGACACACGGAGGACACGATCGAGCTCCGAGCTCGAATCTTCCCATTCCTGTGACTCCAACCACTGATTTGTCCACACTGCTCGTAGCTAGACAAACACTACGACTCTAACGTCGACCCTGCTCATTATTCAAAAAATCACAACCCGTCAAATTTCTTCGTCAATGGCGCTTTACAGGTAGCGTAGCGGCGGGAGCGCGCAAAGGATCGGGCGGAGGTTTGACACGTACGGCGCGCTGCATGCCTGCGCGCGGGAAATATTTAATTTCGCGTCACGTACGTGCAGCTCAGGGGAATCAGGGGCAGCAGCGGCAGCTAGCCATGATCTGACGCTTTGACAATTTTGACCGCCCGATCGATTAAACAAAGTTTATTTCGTGCGTACCGCGGCCATGAGGGCCCAATAATTTCGGCTGGCCGGATCATTTCGCCTGTCCCCTCGCGAGAGGCAGGCGGGAATGATACCCGTCACGTCTCGCCCTCCGTAAACGTACGAAATCATTTGTTAAGCTCTCACGCTGTACTAACCCATAAATGGCAAGAAAAGCCCCCGTGCTGTACTGGTGTAATTATTTACCATTGCCCCGCATGCATGATTCCTCCTGAAAAGAGAGCACAGTGGTATTGATACTAGTACTATTTTATCTCGCATGATTTCAGCTCAAAAGAGACCATAATTATTGGAGTTGATAACGAATGAGCCGCACTAGCTTTGTAAGAGGATGATGGCCTCCTAGCACTTGGGATTCAGGTCAGGTCCATCTCCTATTGATGAAGTGTTTTCAGCTTCCTTTCCTCTGGCGAAACCCTAGGAGGTAGGGCAGCAGCGCTGATATACCTCCGCTCCCGATAAGATCAGGGGGTCTCTCTTGGAGGGGGCGAGGACATTGCTGTTTCAAATCAGTGTTGGTAGTGTGATGGTTTTAGATTTGGTTTTGGTTCTCCGTTGTCGGTGGTGAACCAGTGATATGGCCGTCTTCATGTAATAGTTCTCCCTTCCTCGTACTCGTTGAGATGATGCTTTTGTAGGCTTGCCTCGTTCACACTGTCTTGTGAAGCAGACGGTGCAAATATGCGTCCAATTTCGACCAACGAAGGCTGAACAGTTTCAATCTCGTAATGGATTATGTGAGAGTTATGTTCTTTGGCTCCGTCTGGCCTCACATGAGATGTTATACATGCCTTTTCTCCGAATGTTTTCTTATCCGCGGAGGTGATTTGTAATCGACAATTTTCGGTCATGGATTCTGCAAGCTCCTGGAAGAAGGCTCGGAGACGTCAAAGAACTTTGCTCACGGCCCGACACCAATTACAGGAGGCAGAAGACTTCTTTACTCCAAATAATTTAAATTTGTTTTCAAATTTTTGTTCTCCCTCGGTTCACTTTTTTTTTTGCAGGGTACCCTCGGTTCACATTTTTAAGGCTTTATAGACGTTTTAGACATTGTGCAAACACAACTCAGTTTCACTTATCTGAAACAACTTATGAAAGTGAGCGGAGGGAGCGAGTGTTTTTCTGAGGGTATACCGTATATGCCTTTCGACGTTTTGGGCTCACGGATGCTGCCGTTGTAAATTTTATTACCTAGACTAAACAGCCGTTGCGTGGAAGTACGCACCTAGTAGGCGCGCGGCATCTCTGTTCTGTTGCGGAGTCTTGTCGGGATGCATGGCCGGCTACTTTACGCATGCATGCATGCTTGATTAACCGCGCCTGCCTGCCTACAAACGGAGCAGTCCCCGCCCCAAGATGACCCCTCTACACTTTTATTGCACCTATATATATCTCCTCTCTAGCTACCGTAGGATTATCTCCGCATTGATCAAACCTTTTCCTTGAAGCAAGCAAGCTGGCAAGCATCACGCATTTCCGTTTGTGTAACTGTACGTATCCTCTACCTCTATGCATGCAGACCCGGGCCTCTCTCGCACACTGCCGCACGGCTCCAAGAAGCCTCTGGCCCTGGCCCCGTTGCCATGTTTGTGTTGCGTTGCTCTCTGTCAACAGTGGTGCTGCGCGGGCGTGTCTGCATTCGCAAGCAACAGAGATCGGGAAAGCATATAGTTATAGCCAGCAGTGTCACCTTCCTCCCTTCCTTCCTTGATATACACGCCTGGCCTCACTCGCCGCACTTGGAAATTCTGTCCCTGCCATTTCCATGATCCACAGAAGCAGAAGATACCCCTGCGCGCTGCTGCACCGTCCACCGGGTATGCATGGTGCATTATTTCTATAATGGCACAGAGCCAAAACTAGCAATCCCGAGTTAGTATAGCAAAAGCTAGGTAATCAAATGCGCTCAG